ACCACTGAACTGCAGATAACAGTCAGCTGAAGTGGCCTGCAGTACTGCACCCTAACCACTGCGCCACCTCGGCTCTTCTCTCATCTAGGTGGTGACAGGAGGCTTTGGGACAACATAAGTTGCTCTCCGGAGAATGTACTCTGCTATTCAGCCTGTTTCTGGAAGTGCCTGGTTGCAGGAAGGGACTTAGCACATCAAAGGCAACTATTCCATCACAAAGCTGAACTGCTAATCCATCTCTGTCAATCAGCCCAGGGGTGATCTCTCCCATGGGAAGGGAGCATGTAATAGCAGGTAAAAGGGGGAAGATCCTGCCCATTTTCATGCAATTGACAAATAAAAGAGAAAAACAGAGAAGGAAGGATTGGAGATACGAGGGCATCAGACCTGTTTTCAGTGCAATCCTGTGTGGTTTAACATGTCATGTGGACACATATTCCATTGCTCTCTCCCAAGATTGATGTGAGGCGAAGAGAACCGTGAGGCCAACTTACAGGGGTAGGGAAAGCGGAACCAAGGTGCTATGGACAAGATTTCTCCTCTAGCATCTGTTCTGGCCTTGAATCCGTAGGCATTGGCATCCCGAGGAAACACATCCGTCACTGTCAGAATGTAACAAAGCAGCCAGACCACCAAAATGGCTAGTATGATCTGAAGAGGAGATACACAGAAAGTCAGAACACCATCATCTCCCAGCTACATATATATCCACACTGAAAACAAGTCAGAAGACAGGAAGGAACTGTAGGGAAAGAGCGTGGATCTCTAAACTATTGTCCATCTACTCAGTGTTACTCTGCCTAGTTTTTACTTTCGAGTAATCCAGTCCTGGGAATATTTATGTTGCAAATAAATCCCATGCAGCCGAGGGAGCTTTATTCCTGGAGAATTGTCTAAAACTGCAGATTGAGAATTTTAAATATTCAAGAATGCAGATTTAAGTATTTCAACCAAAATCAAACTTTTGTGTTAAGGATCTCTTCTACATTCCTTCTCCTTTACTCCTAACAAATGTGCACAATTGATTGACAAAAGCTTTTACAATCCCCCCCTCTCCTTGTTACATTTAGTTTTAATTAATTCCCAGCCTCTTCTTTGTCCCATTTTTGTCTTCTTGACGCATGGGAAGTTTCTGAGTCAATTGACCTTTATGATGGATAAGAGAGAGTACTTCATGTGAATGGATTATTTACACATGCTCAGAGTAACCTATGCAGAGGAAGAATAAGATGTTCTTGCCAACCGATGCAACTGGGGACTCTGGCAAGATAAAAAACCAGCAAATTCTGACCCATTATTTTGGGGGGGGGGTGGAGTACAAAATGTGCCCACAATGAAATGATGAGTAAAAGACAATCTCCTTACTGGAAACATCTTGAAGATCTGTACCCGGATCAATATGCAGCCTTTCCCATATTTATACCCAGGAAGAATGAAAGAAACGTTTCGTAGGTACTGAGCAAACAGAATAATTAAAAAAATAGACCTGTTCAAAGGAGAGAAAAGACATGAGTGGACAGATTAGGAGCAATTGGATGCAGAAACCCTGGGATCAATTTTCAAATTGAATTTATTGGATTATACATAGGTAGTTATTTATCATGAATTTACCATTATCTAGGCCAGTGTTTCTCAACCTTGGTGACTTGAAGTCCTGTGGACTTCAATTCCCAGAATCCCCCAGCCAGCATAGATGGCTGGGGAATTCTGGGAGTTGAAGTCCACAGGACTTCAAGTCGCCAAGGTTGAGAAACACTGAATTCTAGGCATTTCCTTACACAAATCTGATACCTTGCAGTTATATTAGGAGTACATCTCTCCAAATCCCAGCCAGCAGAGCAGCAGCTATGTTTATTAGAAATCTTGGGCTGGAAATGATTTGGAGGACATCCCATTAAAAGAAGGCAGATTCTGCCACTTCTAATAAATCACCAGTCGGATCAGAAATCTCCCACGAACTGGCGCAGAGTATACCCTGGCTTGACAACTTCAGAGAGCATCTGATCTGATTTTCTGATTTGTGCTGAGTAATTTTACAAAAGTACTTCATTCTCTCCCACCGTGTCCCAAAACTGAGACAACTGTGTGAAGCTTAACACAAGTTCTTTGTGAATTTGCATCTCATGACTGCATGATCTTTTCTATAGGCATGTCTAATCTTGGCTAACTTAGCTAACAGGCGTACTAGCTGAGAATCATGAGAGTTGAGGTTCAGCAGAGCCAGGATTTTGGCTGGCGGGTTTAGAATCTTCTGACTGTGCTCATCACTCAGCATCCATGGGCAAGGCTGTCATCAGCCCAGTGGTGGGTTGCAGGCGGTATACCCTGGTACGGGTGGAGCCTGCAAGGAGCACCAGATACCATTCCGGTACGGTGCTCCAGAGGGGGGCCCTGCCCGCCCGAGCTCCTTACCAGTCTTTAAAGTCTTCGGTGCTTTCACGCATGTGCACGGCACGTACAGTGCCTGTGTGATGCTCCTCTGAGCAGCTGGAGCATTGCAGAGGCTTGCAGAGG